GCTCAAACGGATGCATTTCACTCGCTGAGCTCCAGTCATTACAGTTCTTCTACGTTTCGATGCCATGATCTACACGACGTAAGTGAATAAAGTTAAAATCTTTCGCAATTGCAGTAAAACGCACGCCAATAAAAAGTCACTTACACGTCTTTGTTTAGAATCTGATAAATGAAAACGGCGAAGCGAACACGTTTCTTCGATCGTGTCTGCTTTTAAGCTAGTGCCGCGTTCTACAGGACGTTAAGTGAAGAAAGTTAAAATCATTCACAATTACAGTAAAACGCACGCCAATAAAAACTCACTTACACGTCGTCGTTTCGAATCTGATGATCGAAAAACGCGAAGTGAAAATGTGTGTCAGTGTCGTCGTTCCGTAGCATCGGGTGGGAGTTGCGTGTATTTAAGCTCCCTCGGCATGACGTCTCAATCCGGGTTACGGGTAGTGGAATTTCCGCTTACGTAAGTTCCGGTAACATGTAATATCGTAGTCAAAATGTTAATGCACAGGTTTTTGTTGCGGGTGAAGGAAATTCCTTTTTATAGAATTCCGGGGATGGGAATATTTACTGTATTTGATGAATATGTAAAATGTCCTTTTTACAGGTGACCAGGATTCTGCATAAACGAATTACGCAAAATGCTGCCCCAAGACTTGAAGCAGATCAGAGTGCTGATACTCAATGACAAAGAAAATTTAGAGAGGACCCTATTCAGACTTGATCAAGGTAAAATTTGCTGTCATTTAAAATTCTAATTATCTCTTCATATTCCAGTTATTGGGATTAAAACAGTATTGCTTGAAAAAAAAAAGATAAATCACACACTGAAAGCCTCACAACATTGCAACAGTTTTTTTTCTATAACAAACATAAGATCAGCAACCCTATGAACTTTTGAATACAGTCATACCTCGGTTTTCGACCATAATCCGTTCCAGAAGGCTGTTCGAAAACCGATTTGTTCGAAAACCGAAACCACGCTCTTTCAAAAAAATCTTTATCTAACACGTCTGTTCACCATGGAACGCTACACGAGGAAGCGTCACTTCCTCGTCAACCCGAGGAAGCGTCACTTCCTCGTGTAAGGAAGGCGAGAGGAGTCAAGTGACGCATTCAAGTGCGCTCAGTTTGTTCGAGAACCGAAATTCGGTCGTCATCCGAGGCATAAAAAACTCTTTTATTTATTTTTATTTTTTGGTCGAAAACTGATTTGGTCGAGAACAGAAGACGTTCGAAAACCGAGGTTTTACTGTATTAAAAATTGTTAATAGCAAGAAAAAAATATATTTTCATGCAATCTAGACCTCACCAAATGTACCTAATGACATTGTTACTATGGTTAGATCTTAGATTTACACTGGTTCAAGTGATATAGTTCGGATTTTTTTTGCTCTTTAGTGGCGTGCATCACAAAAAAAAAATACGCTTGGACTCGTGTATCTACAGATCAGAATCAGAACTCTTCAAAATCTGGCCAACTAAACTGTGTATGTATTTTTTCAGTCTTTTTGTCCACTACAAGTTTTCTCTCCCCAGCAAACCGCTTGTGAATTGTGAGATTGTGCTTCTGTCATTATTTACATGTTATTTGCATATGCACGTGTAGTTTGTCATGTATTCCGTGAACATAACACGTCCTCATCCGTGATTTGAAGTGTACATGTAGATGGGCTGGGCGATTATAGAAAAAAAAAATCACATAATTTTGATTGATATTGAAATCATGCAATCATGGATCAGTTCACAGCAGTGTTGTGTCCAAGGACCGGCAACCCGAGGCCAAGGCCAAGGCCAAGGACTTGACTCCGAGGCCAAGGCCAAGGCCAAGGACTTGGAAAATTTTCCGAGGCAAGGCCAAGGCCAAGGACTTGAGAAATTTTCCGAGGCCAAGGCCAGGGACCAAGGACTTGCTTCCGAGGCCAAGGCCAAGGACCAAGGACTGATTTTGAAACTGAGGCCTTGCCAAGGACATGTATAAAACAATGCTATCATACCACTTGGCAGGTCCTCATGATTTGCAACACCCCTCCATCATAACCCTTTGCACTCCCTAACGCTTGAATGAAGTGTTTTTATTCAAAGAGTAGAACAGTCAGGGTACGTGTTATTTATAGTGGGAAAAAGAAATAAAATCATATGATCTACATTTATGAATTAATGTTTTAGTGCAGTAGTTTCTTAATATGAAGTAAATCAACAC